GAGGAAGAGGAGGGAGAGGAGGAAGAGGAGGGAGTCACGACTGAACGAGGGCTGCACATGGGCGGTGGGTATCTTCATGAATCCACGCTGAGGCTGCGGCGGTGGCTACATCCTGAACATTTTAACCCATCTAAAACATCCGCGGCGTCACGTGCTGCTGATTTCCGATCGATTAACCCCAGAAAACATCGATTGACGCCACTAAACGTCGTCGTGTCCATCTATCGATCTGTAACCGCCGTGCTAATCGCCCAACAGGCTGCTAGCGGCCACCGTCTCCTCACCAGGATGTAGACGGGGCCCGGGCGACCCAGATAATCTCCCCGGAGACGACACAGGCAGCACACAACGGCTCTTTAACGACAGTTTGTCCGAGAGGACGACTTACCGGTGGGTTAATTGTCAAAAAAAAAAAAGTGTAGCTTCAGAAAACCAGTGATTTCTTTGAATCACGTCGGCGGCACCAGAAACACTAGCGGCTTCACAACGTGCTGGAGTGCTCGGTTACCGGTTTCAGCTCCGCAACCGAACCTGACATCCCGCCCCCTTACGAGGCGTCGAGCCAATCACATTCGAACACCGCGACTCGTCCGCCAATCGCATGGCGCGGCTGCGAGGGGCCCCTAGATTGCAGCCAATCGCGAGGGGCTGTGTCACTACCTGGAGTTCTCGAGCGGAGCCAATCGCGTTGCAGTGATGGCTGAAGGGGCGATGGTTTCAAGCACGGGCGTCTGCCGGTTCGCTTTTAGGTCTCGGCGGGCGGTGCACCGGTGTCTCTTCCCCGCTTGGGGGCGACACAAGTTTAAAGTGTGTAAAGTGATTTAATTAGAGCGGGTGACTCATCAGATTATGCAGATTTTCCTCATTCGTGACTTTAATGTGTTAGACAGAGAGTCTGAGGAGTCGTTATCACTGAGTTTTGTGTCAGAGAGGTTGAAGAGAACAACATATAAACACAACATGTCGACATATACTATCAACGTTTAAATAAAAGGCAGAATTAAAAGAGATGATTTCCTTTGGTTGTAGCAGTGCACAGTAGTGGTGTAGTGGTGCATGCAGTACGTGGGTTTACTCCTCTAAAGCGGCCCAGTCAGCAAAGGATAAATGCCTTACTCTTGCATATATAGCACAGCCTGAAATGGGCCGGTAGTAAATGCACATTGTCATTTAAGTTCTGCTGCCTTGACTTCAGGGAGCAAGAATCATTATGAAATTAACATAAGCCACCGAAGAGGTGCAGATTTTGCAATCAATACAGACGGGTGAGACGGCTGCATAAAACTCTGCATAATCTTTATTCCTTACTCCATCCACTCATTAAATCTGCACAATTACTGTATGTCATGTCTTTGCCGTCCCGGGAAAAACAATTCAGCTCACAGAACACCGCTTAATGATGCACATCAGAGGGGATATGAACGTGGGTTATATGCAGACTGAAATATACCTGCATATACTGCACTACACCGCCGGCACACCGTTCTTTTCCCAAAGCTTTCAACCACATCTAATTGGCCCTCATCAGCCGGTGGAGTTTGCTCTGTCGTCACTGAGTAATATGGCACGTCACATGTTAAGTATTTACGTAAATCTTCCTAAGAAGCTGTTAAATAGATTATTTGTCAAACCAGAAGTCAAGAATGAACTTTTCACACTAGAATAGTGGAATTGTTGATGTGTATATCACTGTTTATTATACTCAAATAGATATAGGATAGCCTTTATTCACTAACCCTTTAGAAAGCTGAGGGGCAAAAATGTGCTGACCAACTGACCCCCTGCTTTGGGATAAATTGATTAGGGTTAGGAATATGCACCATATACGTTAAAGTTTGACGCTTTAAAAGATCTTTAAAGAATCTGCTTATTATTCCAGTTTATTTAACATTGCATTTCCGTCTGATTCACAGTGAATATAAGGCCTTTGTAAGGCCCAAAAAATGAAAAGTTAAAAATAAACACAGGAATTTAGTAAATGTGGAAAAGATGTGGTTTCAAGAAAGAAAGAAAGAAAGAAAGAAAGAACCACATCCAGTTATGTCAAACTATCTGAGCAATGACTTGATATTTCCACGCCGCCCTCCACAGCAGAGAGACCGCTGTTTATTTAAATCAGAAAATAAATGTACCTGGAAGAAACTGAGTGGGTTTATGTTGATGAATATATAATCATGGTGTGAAATGTCACTTCCTGTTCACTTTTTTATTGGCACCGTCGTCCAGAACAGGTGTAACAAGCAGGACCAACGCAGTCCTAACTGAGATGGATTTGAACTGTTCAGAGTGACGTTTCCCAGCAGAGAGGAGAAAAAAGTTGAACCCACTTTAACTTCCAGAAGCAAGGACTTTTGTATTTAAAAAAACCTGTATTAGATTACAGTATCATACCCGCCCTTTCTTCCCTCTCTCAGCCACAATATGAGCACGGAGTGAGGGACGAGGCTGAGAGCTTTTTTCTCCTGCTGTGGCTGAGAGGAGGGACTTGGGCTTTGTGGACGAGGCTCGGCTGTTGTTTCACATTCTTGACACCGGAGTCTGGATGAGCGGGTGGGGATGGTAACAGGGTGCTCAGATCTCCCTCTCCCGTCTCCCAGGGGACCATGAGCAGCTTCGTGCACACAGTGAATTGTATAGTAAGTTAAACCCACAGACAGGGGACTTCATACATATCAGCCATGTATGGTAGTGATATTGTAAAATTATACTATTTATATATTATTTTGGACAAAATGTTCTTTTTGCCTTGTTTTATGGCCCCTTTCACACAGATTTCATATATACCACAAGTTATATCGTTTGTTTAGGATACGGTAAGTCATGTTACTTAAAGCACATAAATATTGGACTCTTATATCCAAAGCAAACAATTTATTCATTGAATGACATTTATGACTCCTTAAACCTTTTTCACGTAGAAGGTTTCACTGCCACAAAGTTCAGTTTCCAATGTTTATAACACAGTCTAGGTACATGTGTACACTATGCTTAATTCCATTGTGTTTGGGTTTATTTTAAAGGGCCTACAGTACATTCTTACAATACATCCACACAGATGTTTTTCATTGACTGTACCAATAGCAACTCATAGTCACTGCAGCGCCTACTAATTATTTTCCACAAGAGGCGAAAAATCTCTAATGAGGATCATGCGAAGATGAGAGGCAGCAAACACTAAATGAACATGTGAGGTAAAAGGGGCGTGGTAACCAATCACAACTCACATTCTTCTTATGTGGAGTTGTTCTGTTTGTTAACCTAAACTACAGCAATACTGAAAAGAAGCAATATTGAGAGTATCAACTGTGTTTGCATTCTTTTTAGTTTATGGAGTCTGGTGCTGTTCCTTCAACATGAATGAATGAATGAATGTGAAAAATATGTGAAATACGGAAAAAGTTTTAAAGTCACCCTTCCAGTCAGAAATCTGTTCTTGTTCCTACAGTTGGACGTTTGAGCTTCACTGTGCAGAGTTTGACACTAGAAGGATGTTTTTCACATTCATCTGCTGAACAAAAAGTTTCTCTGTGCTCATTGAAAATATGATTTTAAGGGGCGGGGCCTACGAGCAGGATTTGTGACATCACAAACACTGAGAATGGATTTTACAGTGAAGCAGGAGACATCAGCAGGAAAACCTTAGAAATGTACAAAGTTAGTATATTCATGGATTATGGAATTTTAAATGAGGTAGAATTATACTTTTTTTTGCACAAAAACATACCAGACACACATTATTGTTCCAAGCACACTGTATATATGTCTTAATATATGTATGGAGGGGATCTTTAAGGAAGAACAGTCGAAACATGGCTGAACCTAACAATGATGTCACAATGTACGGACACACCTCTGCATCACTGCAGTTTCACCAGCGGAGGTCAGCAAAAACAAGATTTTTAGGTGTTTTTAAGTCACTTATCAAGCTTAACTTTATTATAGGAGTGCTTTGGACTTGATTTGGGGCTATAGACGACCATGCTCTGTGCATTTATGCAGTTCCAAGATGCTGCAGTTAAAATAACAACTACTTCATTTTAGGCATCTGGCTGACTCTCTCATCTTGAGCAATCAATGTAACAGCAGAATGAACTCAAAATGTTGTTCATCAACATTACAGAAAACCAATTCCAAATCTCTGTGACTATAGACTGATCATATAGTTGAGAGACAAGCACCAAAAAAGAGGAGAAACTGCAGAAAAGGCTTGTTTTAGAAGCTTGTAAAATGTTTTTTTTTTTTTAAATCTCAAATTGGACTCACGAGGGACGATTTTAAAAGCATTACTGCTACACAAAGGAAGCATTCAGAGAAAATGAACACGCAAAAAAATTACTCCTCAGGATGAGACGAGGGGATAAGCTTCTTATAAGGAGACTTCTCATGTTTCTGTGCCCGAGACCGATATAATGTGACACTAGATTCGTCTCCGAGTATAAAACAATCAAGTCCGTAAACAAACTGTCCTCATTATGACTCATGAAGCCACGAAGATCCCATGTCAGATCATCTCAACAAAAATTCCTCAACAGTGGAAATAGAAACGCAGATATGAATGCATGCAGAGATTCCCAGATCTTTTCATAGTCTTTTATTCATGGAAAGAGTTTGGTCGTGCTCTCAGTGTCAGTAGAAACATGTTATATTTATGAGAAAAACTCTCAGCCTGCGAGACTTTCCCCTCATTGAACGTCCAAACAATATATTCCTCTTTATTGTTTCAAATATCAGTACACGCGTGTCCTCGTCTGGGACACGGAATCTGTATGGAAAATAAAAATGAACAACTCTTAAAGCAGTAGTCAAAAGATCGAAAACCAAAAATACACAAAATGAGAAAAAAAATGAGCCCACCACCAAAAGAGTGCAAAAACTAAATGGATGTTTCGTAGAAAGCAAG